TTAACTTAGGATCATTTATACCTTTTTAAGTCATAAAAACCTCCAGTCTTCTGGCAAAATTATAAAAGTTTTCCCTTTCATCGTAAGGAGTAAAGCTCAAATTTGAAGTAGGAAGGACTGAAATCGGTGTATTAGCTTGTAGATTTTCAGTGATGCAATCAATTTGATTGGAACAGAGCTATGTTGCATACTTGCGATATGAAGCATTTGGGCATCCATTAATCTCGCTTTTGTATCAATCAGCATGTTTTCAATACTTTCTCTGTAAGTCAGCTCATTTTCTAAGTCAGTTCTGTATAGAAGTCGTTCTTGTCTTGAATTAGGTCATACTTTGGTTTAATCTCAGCTAACAAACCAAGTCTAGTTTTGATTTCATTGATAGAAAATGTCCCTATGTCCACATACTTCATTACATTTCCAAGCTGAACCTGGACTGTTCTTCGCAATGATTTCAATTTCTTAAATTTATTTACATCTTCTGCTATTTTTTCTAAATCATCCATTATTCTGCTTGTCGCCATTTGTTAGATATTTTAATAATGTAACATTTAAATGGAGTAAGTCAATTTTACTTTATTTAATCACAATTCTATTATATAACTGAATCATCATTAAACAATAACAAATTAACAGAACAGATGTAAATTAACAATTATAGTATAAGCCAGTACATTTGGAATGGACACATCAAGTACACATTCTTGTCCCAGTTGAAGACTAGCTCAAATATTGGAAAATGTAATTATCTAACTTTTTGTTTCGATGTAATATGCAAATTAATACTAAGTATGGAACAATAATTTAACATGACATTTTCATTGTAAAATTTCACTTAAGTTTGTAGGCCTACTTACATAGCCTACATGTCACGTTTTTAAATGGGTGTTTTCTATATAAGGGCCGTTTAGCTCCTTAGTTCATGCAACAAGACAGCTTGCTACTCACAGGCATAATTTGTTTGTGAACTACGCCATTTACAGCTCTGTAGCTGAAAAGATTTTTTTAAATGGATGAATCACCCTACGCTTGCGAGATGGCATCAGTGATACTTTTATGAATACAAGAAACATATGCCAAACATTCATCACCAGTGAGGGTAAAGTGCTGAAATGGCTTAGAGCCGTTACACACACACCGACTTTTGTCGTGCCCCTGTACGACTTCGTGTTGTATGGGCTCACGACTGTTTTGAGTCGTAGCGGGACCAAGCAGGACAAGGCGTTATACAGCTGTCGCGTCGGTGTATACACACTAGTGCATCTCGGGACACGACTGCAGAGTGCCACGCTGGAAAATAACGTGTTTTTCATGTTTATTTTTTTGTTTTTTTGCCCCTAATAGTATCACTTTTCAATTCGTCAAACGATACACTTAACAGTCCTTTCATCCTTCTCTCAAGTAATAAAGGATCTGTTTGGATACTTCTTCTTCTACGTCGAAGTTTTCTCCTTAACGAAGGCGAAGGAGAACCTCTTCCTCCGGCGACATCCTCACAAATGAGTTGTCCCAAAGCCAGTAGAGTTCGCTGTTGTGTTTGCTGAGTCGTATACCGATACGACAACTGTCGTGAGGTAATACGACTTTGTTGTGAGGTAATACGACTTTGTCGTATGCCAGCACGACACGAACAGTCGTACTCACATGCGTCCAAGTCGGTGTGTGTGTACCGGCCCTTAGGTATTTGGAAACTGTCTACGATGAAGAACGCTCGGGCTGACCTTGACAGTGTTTTGGCTTTGAAATTAACAGGGGAGGTTGAGTGTCGTCATTCCATGAATTGTTGCTTATCATTTTTCCATTACTCACCAATGTCAGTTCCTTTTATTCAAGGCCGTAGCCAGGGGGGGTAGGGGGCCAAACCTCCCCCCCCCCCGAAATCCCGAAATTTAGTAGTAAAATTAACACTAGGTTTAAAAAGTGCAAGTTAAATTATAAAATAGAAACCACAACAGAGGATTATTATATTTTATGTTTTATTATGTTTGCAGTAGGCCTAACTATTCATATTTCATATAATGATTCTATTAATGAATCTGATCTATTTAAGGTAATGAAAATATGAAGGTTCAACAAAAATAATTTACTCAAATAAAACAGATTTATCATCCTCTAATATTTTACATATGTAACTATATCAACATTTTAGAAATAGCATGGAAATTGGTGTTTGAAAGTGCTTAAATCTCTTAACCACAGTCATGACCTGACCCAGTGGCGGTTCCAAGGGAGGCTATAGGGGCTAAAGAAAGTACCAAACTGTTTTTAGGATGATATAGTCATAGCCTACAGTATGGTTAGAAATTTGTGAATGCAATTGTGTTATATTTGTAAATGTCTACTTGCTTATGACAATATAAGTTAAATGGGAGTTTTTTTTATGATTGAAGACAGTTTTAGGCATTAAATTTTGCTTTAGAAAGTCACTAAACTAACTTTAAAAATGTTAAAAAAATTTCCGGGGATGGACCCCCAAGCCCCCCTTGACAAGGTCCTAGAACTGCCACTAACCTGACCCCCCCCCTCCGAAAGTTTGTCCTAGCTAAGGCCTTGCTTTTATCAAATTTGGTGAAAAACATATATTAGTTTAGTTAGCAAATAAAGTTACTGTTGTGTTTTTTCTTATGATTTTATTTACGCTCAGAGCTGCTCTGACTCTGACTGCTGCTCTGCTCGACGAGTAATATCACACCCTTTTCCTTTGAATTTAAAATAAGCAAAAAGGTGGTGGTGAGAAAAAGTTTAGGACAAGGTTTATGGTTTTGAAAGAGGGCAATAAACCTTTTTGACAGTGAAAAAGCGTTACAAAAAGTTCCTAAAATAAGTAGACTCCCTTAAAACAGCATCATTAAAAATAATTGATGCCTAATGATTCATGTGTACAGAAAGTGATGTAACCCTAAAAATGAACTTTGTTGACATTATTGACGAGTTTGCTAAAAAATGTAGGAAAACCAGTCATTTAAGGTGTTGACTGGAGTTTGAAATGTTTACAATTACATTTTATAAGTAAAAACATTTTTCTTTTCAAACGTTTTTACAACTAAACCTATTTTACTTTTAAAAACGTGCCTTAAAAAATATAAATGTGTATGTAAGTCAAAGTTAAACTTGTTATTGTATTTTTAATTGATGGTTTATGTTTTTACTTCAATATGCACCCACATAGTTATTAATGTTAACAAACAAAAGTAAACACAATATAACGGCCTTATTGTTGTTATATTGCATATGCTCGTGCAACTCGTAAAACACCTATGAATAATATTATGATTCAAATCAATGTCGGCAGCGAGGGGGGGGCCACAACTACCTCTTGATTAGAGTTTTGAGCTCCAATATCATTGATACCTAGTTCATCTACTACCGTACTGCAACTATTTAGTATTATTTCTCCGCACCACATCATAGGACGCTAGGCCCTAGACCAGAACTGTTTTACACTCCTACTACTGTACAGGGTTGCGGCACTATCACATGGATAAAATCTATTGGTAACTGGTGGGATTCGACCACTAGATCAGTTCACTCCCCTATACTTAGTATAATAATATTTACACATGCAACTCTTCCAAGTTTAATTGCTTTCAATCAAAAGACTGATTGGCAAAAATGCTTCTTGTTTTTAAATCTGAGGATCGATCAATATGATTTTAAACTTGGTTGCCATGATTTGTTACTGGGTATTACTTTAGTTAAGTTGTATACAGGGTGTCCATAGAAAACGTTTCAGGATTTTGGGAAATGAATCCTCATACTAAAAGGAAGAAAAACGTTTACGCGAAGGTATGTCCGAAAATGAATATTTACCCAGTTATCCGCCATTTTGTTTTTTATACAAAAATATTTTGATCTGTGAAGTTTTTCATTCGATGACTATGAAATTTGGTAACCATGTTAACATTTTAACCAAATTTCATAATCATCAAATGAAAAACTTCACATATAAAAATATTTTTTTATAAAAAACAAAATGGCGGGTAACTGAGTAAATATGCATTTTCGGACATTCCTTCACATGAACCCTTTTCTTCATTTTAGTATGAGGATTCATTTCCTTAAGTCCTAAAACGTTTTTTTGGACACCCTGTATAGGGATGTGTCGAATCCGAATCTTGAATCCAACGAATCCTAAGAAAAGATTTTTTCTTTTAGAATAGAATTATAAGGCATACACTATACTGTGACATTGCCTAGCCATAGAGGTTATTGACGTCGTAATATACAGTACTGTGACATTGACTAACCATAGAGGTTATTGACGTCTTAATATACAGTACTGTGACATTGCCTAACCATAGCGGTTATTTACGTCATACATAATATACAGTAGTGTGACATTGACTAACCATAGAGGTTATTGACGTCTTAATATACAGTACTGTGACATTGCCTAACCATAGAGGTTAATAGTGTCGTAACACACAGTACTGTGACATTGCCTAACCATAGAGGTTATTGACGTCTTATTATACAGTACTGTGACATTGCCTAACCATAGAGGTTATTGACGTCTTAATATTATTTTCATTTCATTCATTTCAATATACAGTACTGTGACATTGCCTAACCATAGAGGTTATTGATGTCTTTATATACAGTACTGTGACATTGACTAACCATAGATGTTATTGACGTCGTAATATACAGTACTGTGACATTGTCATTTTATGAACAGAGTACTCTATCGATCAACGAATTTCAAATTAACAAGTCTACTTACATCAACCATAAATAACCAATAATGAATCATATCCCTTAAAGTTCTCTTATATAAACAAAACTATTGGGGAAGATTTATTAGATTCAATTTTATTGGTATTGATTGGAATACTGTTATAAAAATAATTTTTAGATTGTTGGTTATAGCCAAAGAAGAGCAAATACAATAATATATTTTGTTCAATGAACAGAACTCACGTGAACCCAAGATCAGTCAGTTTTCCTCAGATATTCTTCATTTGTAAGATGTGGTTTATGTTTTATCAAAAATATGTTTTCAGGACGCAATGGTAGACCACCAAGGAAGAAAAACAAGAAAAATCATCAAACGGTAATCATTAGATGTATAGTATTTATTATAACTTTGAGCATGAGCTGAGAGTTTTATAATAGCTGGGAATGCTGAGACCTGGTCTGCAGTAAATATATAACTTACTGGTAACAATTTACATTCTACAGTGACATTCACTGTAGAAAGCATGTTCAATTTATTTCGTTAGAATTTGTCTAGTTTTTTTTTCAATCTTTACAAGCAATCAATTTAGTAAAACCTATTGTAACGAAAAATAATTATGGACAAGCTTACCTTGAATGATTTTGATAGTTGAAAATTAGCTAATGCTATATTTTGACTGTCTATTCAAATAATCCAGTTTTAAAATGTCTAACTTTTTGGTGACGTATCATAATTTTTTGTAGACCACACTCACCACGTTTTGCTGTGTTATATCAAAGACTTGGCAAGTAGGATGACAAACACACTACTGTCCTAGATATTAAATATTACAAATCACAGACCCGCAACGGTATTAGATTCAAGGTACTGCTTCCTCAAAGCTAGAAAAATTATTTTTTGAGCTGGACATGGTTGAAAGTCACTCACCACCATCAACAACCCCTCTTTAGAATAGTTAGACAAGTGATAGAAGGTTAGATCTGTATTTAAAATTAAAGCAAAGCTTTATAAAATCAGGTTTGGGTAAACAGTTCTAGTCAGTAGTTTCAGTTGCAAAAATTATTCCAAATACTATTAATGGTTTATAGGAACAAACTGGTCCAGTTCCAAACCTGACTATGAGCACTGCCTCGGGCCAAATAGTTAACAGATCTCAACCTCCTCATACGGCTCGGAAAACGACAACTCCAGCTCCGGTGGTCCCTGTCACGCCCCAGCCTGACTCTGGTGAGTATGTTATTCAACAACATAACAAGGAGATTTATGTAATGAGTTTTGTATTATGATTGTGGTCAAGTATTTAATTTGATGTCCATTCAGATATGTTGCGTCATGAGTTTTAGACATTGTAGCTCAGAAATAACATAAATTTATTTATTTTTTTTTATAACGATAATTTTCCTTGGATACACCATTGGCTTACTTTATTATGAGGCTGAAACAAAATAACATCATATTTGCCCTCGACTCAGCTATGCAACATCTTTTAAAAGGCTAAAATTAGTATTGCCAGCTATTCATTGCTTTAACTCGCATGAACCTCATACTGCATTACTAATGTTGCAGCCAAGAAGCCGCCCGTGGTAGCGAGTCACTCGTTGCCGGCACAGCCTGCGCGACCGACGCCCCTGGCCACAGCTGCTCCCATCGCAGCCAAGAGGCCGTCAACCAATCAGGTGATCACACCGACCACCATGCCGGCCAACCCGCCCACACTGGATCTTCAAGGTAAGGCCCCTTCTTTTACCAGTCTGTGGCGTTTTTTTTTTTTTTTTATTGGGAGAAGAAGCCAGATCGGATGTATCAACTGGAAGTGTAGAACAAATTTGTTGTCATGTGCAGGTGCAATATTAGATGTTAAGTCGGAGTTGGTAGAGCAGCCCGCCACTACTGTCGTGCCAGAGCCTGTTGAGATGGTCAAGAAAGAGCCACTTGAATCGACACTGGCTGTTCTACCTTCTGTGTTCGACCCCTTGCCAGAAAGTCCTAAGGAAGAAAAGCCCATCCTGCCCATGCAGGTTCTTCCTCATCCAAACGATGGTTAGTTTTTTATCCTTCCTACAAACTGATTTTCTATTAGTTTTACAATTCATCTAGTCCTACTTTTAGAGGAAACAAAGGGAGCACATTTTATAAAAGTTTAACAAACATACAAAAATTGAGATTTGAGGATCTTCAAGATCATTGTACATAATGTACATAGCTTTCTTGTATACTGTTTTATATTTTGTGATAGTCTAGGTGCTAGATAATAATGTGTAAATAATACGATGGAAAGATTTTATATGTGGAGAACTCCACAATTGAGTGAATCCATAATTTTAGTCGAGGTTTGTTTGTTATATGATAGCAGTATTACGAGTTATTTCTTTGGAGTATAATCTACTTACTTCAAGGTTATAAATTCGCTCTTAACTATACGTCGTGCAATATGAGAAAGTGCAATCAATGAAGCTTTAAGATTTATTATTTAAAAGTTTGGAAAGAAAATATGAGCTAAATTTAAATGCAATATCTTAAGCTTTCCTAAAGCTTTAACATTACTGTAATATGTTGTTTGTGTTATTAGAAATTTATAAAGTTTTAGGAAGTAATAATAATTGTATCATTGCTGTGGGGGAGTTTTTGGTTGGATAATGTATGTACAAAAGAAATTTATTGTCTCTCAAGTGTAGGTAGAACAATGCACCTTTATGCACATAGTGTTGAGGAAAAATATTATTGTATGCAGAATAATTTGTAACTTATTGTTTCCCAATTCAACATAATCTCTTTTCCATTTCTTAAGATTATTTTACTTAAACTTTGTATTGGGTCCATAAACTGTTAAATGCCATTTTGTTACTAAAACATGCAACGTAACCTTTTTAAGCATATTTTCCATACCGGTCAAAGTATTGTTCACTGTTTAAGGACAAAAAATGTCTCTGCATGTACAATGGTTTTATAAAAATATGTATGTAGGCTATCTAAAAAATGTGTATCTCAAATTTATAACTGTGCCATTGTAAAAAAATGTTCTCATTTGTTTTTTTTTTTCTCTTTGTCATGTAGTTAAAGAATATTATTGATTGACAATTTATGAAGTTCCTGTTCAACTTGCTAATCATTTAAAAATTATTGTTTGTTTAATTATGCTGTGCATAAAAGTTCAATGTTTCCCTAGGTTATGAACAGTAGCCTACAGTAACTAAGACTTACATCACTTATTGTTTACAAAGTGTGAGTAAATCATCAATAAAATAAAATAGCTTATTCCCTATATGGGAAATTTGCTTAAACAAGCTAAAATTGTCTTTGAACTCTATAGAAAATGTGCATGATCTCACAAACATTATAATGTGGCTTGTTGAAGTAAGCTGTGTTAAACTCACTATTACAAGTTTGTTAAGAGATGTATTGTGTTTTGTTTACATTGGGAAAACTGAGGACGAAGCTCAGAATTAGCAACAATATAGTTCAAGAATTTATTTATTTGCTGCAAACGATATATTATTTATATAGAATAAATTGATATTTCGTCGATGAAAAAATAAAAACCATTAAAAAGTTATATCTACGGATTGAATTATATACTTTACACTTTTGTAGATTTTCTTACCGGTATTTAAGTTGTATATCATGAGAATTAGGAACGGTTGCCATTAAAAATATCAAATGATTAGTAACAATTTTTAAAACTAAAATTAAGCCTTAATTTGAAAATAGGTTATTCAAAAACGGTGGTCAATTTCATTTTTTTTCACATTTGAATTCTTGCCATGACACTAGGGGCTCTCTCATACTTCTATCAATCAGTTTTTTATATAACAAATTGAATTTTAATACCCCCGCCACAGCAAACCTGCAGACTATGCGAATTTCCATCAACCTAATTGCATTTAGGCCTACTCTAAAATATCTCCTTAAAAATATTACATTTATTCCCTATTTAAATAGCATTGGTTTAATGAGTACTTAAGCTTGCTGCAACAGGGAGGGTAAAAATGGTTTTGTGTGTGTGAAATGTTAATATGTAGTTTAGTATGAAATAAATAAATTTTCCAAAATTGATAAAAATATATTCATAAACAAGCAAACTGCAACAGTTTACTTATTCTCCATAAGAATAACATAGGAATTTATAATTTAAAATTTGTTGGAATTTTATCTGTAACCATTAGGCGCATAAAAACGTTTCAATATACTAAATTTTTTTTTAAGCTCTAAAAAATGGTTTGGAAATAAATTGTAACATTTTATGCTTTTAGGGTAAAAAATGGGAAAACTACATTTTTACCCCATAAAACCCCCATAAACCCCTGTTCCCATAGTCCGATCATGCTGGTTTGCGAACTCGTTTGAATAAGTGTAGGTTTAGGCCTACACATTATACCATTCATCAAAATCGGATAATTTTTGTTTTGAGTTATCGTGCTAACGGCCACATATATTTGAATTTGAACAGATGGTGTTTTTGGGCTCTATGGACCTCAAAATGAAAAAGTAAATCTGTCCCGGGTCCAGGTCTTACCATGAGTACTACGGTATTAGCTTATTCCCTATGTGGGAAATTCGCTAAAAATCAAATCAAAATTAAATATTAGCAATATTAGTACTTTTAGTCATTCAAAAGCAATGGTTCTAAAACTAAGACTAAACCTATTGTATAGTTACAATTTATTTACAATCATCACGTTCCATCAACAATTTTCTGAAAAGGCGAGATATAATTGTCAAGCAGTATAACAATATGTGATAAGTCCATTCAATACAATTAAAAAATCCCACCTTCACTATTTATAATTTATATATTGCTAGGAAAAATACCAAACATGAAACAAATAAAGACCAAAATTTTTACTCTTAACCTTTTTTTCAAAATAAGTAATTGGTGTATATTTTGAAAATTGTTAACGAAAGGAGTTGTATGATTTATGTTACATCACAATATTGTATGCACCTTGTTTCTGTGTAAATCAGTAAATAATTCTATTATGTTTTTTTCGTATGGATGAAGAATGGAGTACTAATATAATTTTTTTACTAATCAAATTCCATACTTATGTATACGTCAGAAAACTAAACTTTAGATTAAGCAAAACTACATCATGTTTAGCTTTCTTCTTTTTTCTTTTTTCAGAGTACAATATTGTTTTAATAATTTAATAATAAATTGTTTTTTATAATATTATTGTAGTATTTATTATCCTAGCTTTTTAAGACATAAACTGTAGTCCTTGAATCAAAATTGTAATTCTTGCTCATTTACTGTAGCTAATTGAGACACTTCCAAAAAACAATGTTAATAAAATATAATATTCATTTGTATTTAAAGTGTTGTTTTTATGGGATATTTGCAATAATAAAACAGTTCAAACATGTCAATTTCTTTAATTAGTTGGAATATTTAGTTGGAATATTAGTTGGGCTTTATCAAAAACCTTAAATTTATCGCCATTGCTTTTTACAACAAATGTTTTTATTTATTATGAATTATTCAATACTTTAAAAAGTAAGTTTATCATTATGTTTAAGGGAGAACTTCCTACTAGTTAAATCTTTTGTAGCATAATTTAATTAATATAAAATTAGCATTTAACTTTGTGCAAATAAAGAAAATTAAAATAAAAATACATTGATATTAACCGAGAAATATTGATTGACTATATTCTGGGATGAATTTTCATTATATGACATGATTTATAAAAGTAAATAACTAGGTGTGCTTTTTATTTCGTTTCTACTGGTAAATGTAACTGTAGTAGAATGAGCTACACATATAAAGTTGTCAAGGGATTATTATATTGAGCTTCACATATTATATTGACTTAGGTTAATTAAAACTCAATAAATACAAGGTTTTTTGTACACATTTACCATGGAGTTTCTATCACAAGCTTATTTTTTTATAATAATGTACATTCTATTATCCAATTACGGTATATGAACTAAGTTTTTTCTGTCTATTTAATCAAATTATAAAGTATAAACAATTTAAAAAAAGTTTAAGGATGATATTTTCTTACTTAAATATCATTTAGATATTTATTTGGCAACCAACCCTAAAAATAAGCTTTTTTGCTGTAACTTTTCAAAGATTCACTGACATTTTGTTACAGGCATGTTTAAATTTAAAAAAGAAAAATCATAAATAAAATAATTGTTGGTTGTGTGGACGTAATTTAATAATAGAGAACATGTTTTAGAAAAGATTGTTAAACTAAAATGCTGTGCAAAATAAGTTCTAACTCAAACAGTTTTAAGTCTGTTGATTGGTATGTGGTTTTTATTTTGCTTAAATGTCTGTGAATGATTCAAAATGGGTCGGAGATAGATCATTAATGTTGCCTCGGTGGGATCAAAATGCAGCTAAAAAGAAATTGTCATAAAGTAGTAAAAAAGTGACTAGATTGTATGATGCAGTAAAAGTAAATTGGTAAACTTTATAATGAGCCAAACAACACTAAAATCAATAGAAAACGCTAAGAAAAACTGAGTTACGCTCAAGTATAACTTAAGAAGCAATATCAAGTGGCCATATGATACCTTGATCTGTATTAAATGTCAAGGTCTCTTTTCCTAGCTTCAAGACCACAATTACTTTTGACCTCCTGTAAGCATATGACAGTTGACAGCTTATTAATGTATTGTTTTTAAAGTTGAACCCCTAGATTTCATTTTGAGGAAAGTGTGTTTGTAAAGCCCAAGAAAGATGCCATCTTATCTGGCTGCTTTCCCTTCTGACAGAGCCTTGATTGCAGCTTCCAGTGCCTCTATGAAACCTCTAGACACTTCAAATTATGCCTCTTGCCTTTCTTTAGATCAGCTGGTAGATCACACATCACACATTTGTCTATTAGTTCTCAACCCACAATGTCTGAATTATTGTGATGTCTGAATTATTATTAGCACAATCTTTCTAGCAGAGGGTTTCCAAAGAGGAACTTGAATATTTTTTAGACCGATGCAGGTCTAATTTGTGATCTTCAATTTCTTACTTCTAGACTGGTTAAGGTTTTGAATCAGATCATCAGAGTTGAAATAACTACTGGAAATAAAATTATAAATGTTACTGGCTATATTGTCTCTACTCTGGTCTCATGAAACCCCTCAGGGGATGTTGACAAGATCAGTTTTGTAGATAAGCCAAAACTCTTGGAAGTAGGCAAACTTCATCTCATGCTTTTTTCCTTCAATGATGTGAATCCACCTCAGTTTGTCTTTTTCATTCCTTCGTGGAAGTGGAAATCATTGCACCAGAGAAATTTGTATCCCAGTTGCAATACAAAAAATGGTAAACAATTATAGATCTTAAAATCATAAATATAAGGAAAAATACATAATAATTTCAGTTTTTGATGCATTATTAAGATTTACGATTGGGAAAACAAATTAACAGTGTAAATAAACCTCTTACGGATTCATCAATGATTTTGTTCATTATTAAATCATCAAGGTAAGTTGAAACTAATTTTTATTTACATCACTCATTTAGTAGAAGTGCACACTGTTTAATTTTCATGCATTCAAAATTAATCATTACATTTTTATTCGGGAATCTCTGTTTGAAGTTAGAAACAAATTAAGAAGATACCATTACACAAGCAAAATTGGTGATATTCATGGCCTCTAATGCAAGGCCGCAGCAAAACTAGTAAAGTGGTAAAATTTCTAGCATACTGGAACAGGTGTTGTACTAATTCATAATCAAACATCTGAGCAATGTTTATGTTTACGCAATAGGCGGACGTTTCCACGCACCTCTCAGTATTAGGTACACATCAATCTTGTACTAGAGGAGGCTATGCTATATTACAATTTCCACACAATTAAAGTCAAGTCTCGGTCAAATTCCTGTGTCGTGTGAGGCTCAAATTCTCAGTCATATAAATCAATGAATACAAAACTTATAAGAAGCGCAATGCCTTTGTTAAAATTCAGTCTGGGAATATTTGAATTTTGGATAGTTCCCACGGCAGTTGTAAGGTATACTATCCCGAGCGCACGGCCAAATCAGCTGACTGAGTTAGAGAGAGTGAGACAAAGAATCGGCTTAGTGAGAGAGAAAGATAGAGTAGCATAGCCGCCACGCGAGCGTACCTAGTGGCAGCTCATTTCGGCAGTAAAATTCCAATCTGACTATTCTACATTAGAATTTAGCTTCGTAAAGGGTATGTATTCATTGTATAAATACAGATAAAATCTTAGAATCTTATCTCATTGCTTTTATAATTACCAGTAGTTCAATCGCCTGCAATGTGTAGGTTCTTAACCCATTAAGGAAGGAATTAATGCGCTGCCTGCAGTACCCTCAGTCAGCAATTAATTTTACCAAATTTGTTACTCTAATTTTTATAGAAAGAAAACCTTAAGTAATAAAATAATAATTCTGTTGCTATGTTGTTCACAATAAAATTATCTACAAAAAAAGTGGTAGGCCTAATTGGATAGTCAAAGTATAAAAGTATAAAAATAATATGTTAAAAACAATTTTTAAAAGTAAACTTTATTTACAAATTCTAAGATCAATCCAGACACCAAAATGACACTAATATCATAAAGTTCAATTGATTCCCTAAGTAGAGTAAAGTTGTTTTAAGTAATGACATAGAAAATACATTTTTTTCTTACCTTACTGCAGCTCATTTTGGGTACTTTTAGAGCACCAAGCAGCTTAGCAGTTAGAGTAGGCCTAGAATTTCCCTCAATGTCTGAAGATAAACCAACATACTCAATCCAATCATCACTAATTTGAAAATCAAAATTTGCTTCATTACCTTACTTTTTACTTAACTTTTCAGTAAATCGATGTACTGTTTTAATGATTTTGCCATCCTCACTGACATCACTACACTATCAAGTTCATCATCACTGTTAAGGAAACAATCAAATTCAGAAGTACGCAAATTTTCTACTCGTAATCATCTATAATTACTTCACACAATAAAAACAACAAAGTTAACTATAAGGTTATACAGCTGTCGAGCAAAACAATCACAAATCTAAGGCTGAAAACAAACCACAGCTTGGATACAATCAGGTTAGCCAACATCTAAAACTGAAAAAATATGTGGTTGTGTTGTGAATAAGACCTGAGAAGTCCCGCTAACACTTAACACTATCTGTCAGATGTTTTCGGAACTAAGAAAACAGAACCAGAACGTTGTCAAATATAGACAACGTAACCAGCAAGTGAGTCGGCGAGAATGGGTTTAAACCTTAAAAACCTTGTGTAGGACTTAACCTGTAGCTTTTTCAACTTGGGTTTTTGTAGTTAAATTAACAGAGAGGCTTGATTAAATTGTTAACAATTAACCTCCTATTTAACACTTTTGACAATATTTTATTTATAAGGGGTTTGTGACATTACAATTTAAGTATTTGTTCACAAAGAGTTCATGAAGAAAGTGTTAGCTCTCATGACAGATTCTTTAATTATCCGCTGTAGTGACATTACAATTTAAGTATTTGTTCACAAAGAGTTCATGAAGAAAGTGTTAGCTCTCATGACAGATTCTTTAATTATCCGCTGTAAATACTAGATATAGTCAGGATATTGTTCAGTTTGAGCCTGACCCGAAGTATACTACATTTATAATGATACAGAATTCCAAAATTTCTGGTAAAGTAGTTTTTGAGTGGCCACTAGGAATGTTATCTTAAAAATTACTCCTATTTCTTATAAAACAAATAAAAACAAAATAGCCATCCCATGTAATGTAATGTACCACGGAATGTTTTATATTTTATACAGACTCTGTATAACCTGAATGAAGGGGCTACAGAATGATACAGAATTATTTACTACCAAGTAGAATTTTAACATGAGGCACTGTGAGAGACCCATTCATCTTTATTTCCTTTGATTATAAAACTGGCTACCTACTGTTATACCATATCAACGATAAGATAACAATATCTCAGTACACATAATTATTAAACTAAATTAAACAATTGATGAATCCCAATTGGGGATTTCTAAATCTGCATTTGATGATATGACTAATACGCTAACTAGGTTAGAAAAGATCTTATATACAGTGTAGGCCTACTGTGTAAATGTGCTCTCTTTTCTTAGTCCTTGTATTTTGTTGTTTATGGTGTTACATTCCTGTCGATAGTCAGTTGTGACTGATTGTGAGAGTTTAATGGCCATGTATGTGACAGGCATGGTAAACAATTCCGTGCCAGTGACTAACAACTCATTGCCGGTGCCAGCGCCAGTGCCAGTACTTGTACCCGCACCGATGCCAGTCACTGACATGAACAAAAACTCTACTCCTACCACCAACAACTTCGCTGCTGCTTTCAATCCAAAGGTGTGAACTGAATATGAAATTGATAAATTCTCTTGTTCAGTCTTGCCTTTTGACAATCCTTAAGTGATTGAGAAATTCAAGCACTAGGTGAAGAGTAATTTTTGTTAAGGTATGTTTTTTCATGTTTTTAAAACTTACAAGCATCTGTACGTTTGGAAAATCATTAAAATTGTTGTAAAATAGTGTCTCAAATTTTACTTTAGTTTAATGGAATGAATTTTTACAAAGATTTAAAAATGTAGTTTTAGTTACCAAATAAATTAGTTTGGTTATTATTCACCTGTGTTAGTTTTACTAGTCACCGATTTGGTTGTTTAAACTGATTAGATTAATAATTATACTGCCTAACAACAGGTCAAAGTTAGTAACAAGACCAGGGGCTGGACCGTTTCCTTACAAAAACCGTTAAAATATGCCAATGGCATAGATAAACGCCAAGATATAATTCACAGTAATTGAATGGCCCATTTAATTAATTTTAAAATGCTACTTGATTTACTGTATCAGTTAATTTCAAATTTGAAATGTTAAGTTGTCATAATCAGTTAACTGAGTGTGTATTACTAAAATTAAAAATTTTGGATGTAGAAATATAGCAATCTAAAAAAAAACACTTTTTATTTTACAGCATTAACGTTCAGTAATAATTAAGTATCTAACATTAGTATAATTTAACCTTAGATTTAAGAGTAATTTATTTTATAAAAAATACTTGAGAGCTGAGACACTGATTTAGTGTAATGATCGTTTCAGACGGAGCCTAACGTCAAGAACGCCAGTTCATGGTCGTCACTGGCGCAGTCTCCGACCACCAATGCAGTACCAGGCGCACCAGCTGCTGCTGTTGGACCCAAGGCCTTAGCTGACCAGTTTCAAGCATTTAAAAAACAGGCTAAGGAAAAAATGCTAAAGGTATTGTAGTGATGTCTTAATTGTGCATAACTAATAAAACCGTCATAATAATTTTGTGGATAGCTAAAGCAACACAATAAAAATGATGAAACATTTGAGTTTTTTTTTTTTAGAATAACAGGACAAATAAAAGCACAACAACTAACTTATAATGGAAATAAAGTCGAACTTGATTGATTCAAAATCAATGTAACCACAATGATTCTAACAAAAATTTTACAGTAGGCCCTCTCTTAACCGACCCTAATGGGTCGAACCTAGGTCGGGTAACTCAAAAGGTCTCGGTTGAAACGGGCAATCCCTAAAAACATAACAAAATGAAGTCATTTGGTTGGAATTATATAAACATTATTTTGAAGTCGTACCTGCATTATTCATAAAATAAACTACACATTTCCTTTTTTTTCGTATTGATCGAAAAGTCACAAATAAACCCAAAACATGCTTAGGCCTAAGTCAAATGCTTGTAGTGAAATAAATTATAGTTGTAGTCAAAATTCAATAATAATTCTTATTTTAATAACTTTGGTACTGTAATATTAATTGATGCTTTCCAAATCTATCGTAATACAGTACTGAGCTTTAAATTAAAGATACTAGCAATAATTTTGTTACAAGACAGTATGTTAATTTATACATTTATGGAGGATAATCTGAGGGAACTTTAACTCTACTTTTATGTTGTGATTGTATTTTACAGCAAAGAGCCTTGATAGAACAGCAGGAGATGAGGAGGCAACAGAAAGAACAAGCGGAGAGGGAACGGCTCAGGCTGGAGAACGAGAGACGGAGGGAGAAAGAAGAAGAGGAGGCTCTGGAAAAAGCGAGGTAAGTGGACTTTGGAACTTACCTCTACTATACTATAATTTTACCTGAGTTCAGAATGTTTGTATCCAGATAATGCATTAATGTTTTGCTTAATGTCTATTAAGCACTCATTATACAATTTAACTTCATGAATTGCCACACTCATAAAGTAAAAACCGAATCATTCAGTCAAAATATGAATCCACCTATAAAAAGCATACAATTACACAAAGGAGGGTCGAGAGGACGATGGGCTCAACCAGTAATGAATGTCTATCTCCCACAAGACCTGAACTGCTTGTTGATGTGCGATTGGACTTCTTTATTGCTATGAGAATTGCCCCGTTTGACTTAATTTCTCACAAGAGTCACAAGAACGATAAAAATAACGATTAACAGTCTTTTCCTGTTCGAACACAAATGTAAGATTGACTTAATAACAAATGTAATTTCCCAATTGTCTTATTCATGGGGCCTAAGTGATGGTAAAGCGATTGGTGTTGCAGGAAAACTGCGGCAGAAGCGGCTAGAGTAGAGGAGGTGAAGGTTGTGGTGCCGGAGAAGACTGGCAGTCCAGGCGGGGCTGTAGACAAATCTGCGGCGGAGAGAGAGAGACAGCGACTACGAGAGCAGGAGCGGCGGCGACGCGAGGCTGTGAGTATAGAACATTTATCAATTACTTATTTACAGGGTGTCCACTGACCGGGAAATCCAGGAATTATGCGTGAATTTTGTATTTAACCGGGAATTTTTTGCCGCGACCACGGGAAACAACGATGGCGTTCCCGTGACCGCGGAGGACGACGATAACGTTCCCGAGACCGCGGGAGACGACGATGACGTTCCCGTGACCGTGGGAGACGACGATGACGTTTCCATGACCGCGGGAGATGACGACGACGTTTCCGTAACCGCAGGAGACGATGATGACGTTTCCGTGACCGCGGGAGACGACGATGAAGTTTCCGTGACCACGGGAGACAACGATGATATTTCCGTGACTGCGGGAGACGACGATGACGTTTTTGTGACCGCGGGAGACGACGATGACGCTTTTGTGACCGCGGGAGACGACGATGACGTTTTCGTGACCGCGGGAGACGACGATGATGTCCAAAAATATTGCTTGAAATGATGACTGCGGGAAATTATTTGAATTAAGCTACGATCGAGGAAGATTATGATAACTTTACTGTGATCGCGGGAGACAATTATAATGTTTCCGTTACCACTGAACAATATCAGGATTTTTTCACGGCCACGGAAGACAGTGGTGATGTTTCTGTTATTGAGTGAGATATTCAGGATTTTTCAGTCATCGCAGAAAACGATGATGGTGTCTCTACGACTGTGTTAGATGATTACAATATAACCTCGAGTTTGGCTTCACCAAAATTTGCAAATTGGCACTTTTCTAGAAGGATTTTTTATATTTTTTTGTAATATCTTCATTTACCTTTAACGTGGTATTTATTTAATGGAAATGTGCTTAGAAGGGTTTAAAACATAAATTGGCTACTTCCAATTTTTGTAATTTCTGCATTATTATTTCTCTTTTCCGCTTGGAAAACAACCCATTACTCCAAAATTATACAATATGAAAGTACATAAAGCCAGGGGTTGGTGTAGTAATCCTTAAGAAAATTTGGTAAAATAGAAATTATCAGTATTAAGAATCTATTTTTCAGGTGTCTGTACAGAGGTTCGATAAATTTTGGTATCGACATATCACTATTTTTAGGAAGTTATTAATAAATTGCAGGTTTAAGGATTAGTTTTTAATTTTTGGATTATTTAATCAGTAATAAGTTATATAAAAATTGAATACTTGTGTCAGGCAATATTACAGCAATCATATTTTTTCCCCCTTAACTGAGAATGCTCTTTCCGATAACTAAAACAGCGAGCCGTGTTAGAGCGCTAAAACAGCATTGCGGGATTTGGCGCAAAACACGTTGGAAATTTTAGTATGAAAAGTACGACCAGAGATTTTTTTTTACTTATGAATTACTCATGAATTTTTTCTGGTTGGCCTGGTGGACACCCTTGTTAATGAACTAGAGGGAAAAAGACAAGTTTTGTATTTAACTATTTATGTTGCATTAATAACTAGAAATATATTGTAGAGGGATTATTATAGATGTTTTCCATCTCCGGAGGTTTCTTGATTAGTGAAAGTTTTCACGACATTTGGGATCTGGAATCTAATCCTGCCCTCAGGTGAAAAAGTACCATCTTATTGAGCCCCCATCTTGTGCAGGCATGTTCAGTGCACTGTATTTAGCTACCCTCAAGTTGTCCTAATTGTTATTTTTTTTTGTTTTCTTCTTTTCTCGTTATGACAACTCCAACTATACAAATTATCTGTGTGATTTTCATAGGTGATTGTCTAGTGTTGGCTGGGCTTGTGTGCTAATCTTGTAGAAACTATGAGAATACTTGTATAAATCGTAATGGAAAATGGCCTGCAATAATATCTCAAAGAGACTTGTTAGTGTAAGAAAATGGTGTTCAAGTACATAGCGTGGTGATTTTCCTGAAATTTTTTTATCTTCCTATAATTTTTGTGTGTTAATGTATCCACCCAATAACCAGAGAGCGAGTAGAATTAACTAGTAATGTCATCCTCTTATTTCAGATGGCGAGCCAAATAGACATGAACATGCAGAGTGACTTAATGGCTGCGTTTGAGGAGTCCCTGTAATATGGAGCTTAAGTGGACATAGTGTTGTTTGTATTTAGAGAACTTTTGCCTTTGTATTTTTCTGTAAATATAATGATCGACATTTGTGATGGAATCGAATTTATATTTTGTTTTAACTGTGGAACACTTAAAATCTATTATGTATCAATTATAATAGTTATAAAAACTCGTGTTTGGTCATTCAACAATGCTGGTAGTTTTCAAATGAGGCCTAACAGTAGTGTTAAAGTGCTCAAGTCAAGACACCGAGATGCGGAGATCCCTACCATGCAGAAGCAAGTGAAACTTTCATTTTATACATCATGTGTATATTTCATACGTATCGGTTTTTATTTGTTGATATTTTTTGTGATTTATAATGTAACATATTGTTCTAATAAAATTACTTTACAATTTTGTAAAAATTGTTACATAGATCATGTTGAATTCAGATTAAAATCAATAGCGGCATTTCCTATTAAAATGGATAAACAAAAATTAAATGTTATCGCTTAAGTAGGACTTGTGCAATAATAAATAAGTTGTAATATTATGTACTGCTCACTAAAACTATGAACTTTTATAGTACTGTGTTTTGATTTAGACTAAAGAGAAATTCTCGGGACAAATTATTGCTTTAGTTTCACAAATTGTGTGTTTCACTCGAGTTAATTTCACTTTTTTGACATATTTTTATGCACAATATTGCTATTAATGGTAAGTTTGTTTATGGATGTAAATATACATTTAGACTAACATTGATCATTTTCGTTTCAAATAAAATCAGTGTTAAAAATATCATTGTCAATGGCCAATGGATTATTTTGCGTGGTACGGACAAATCATAAATAATGTATCATAGTAATATTTAATGGGTGTCCATTACAACTGTGTATAAATAATAAATATCTGTATTATAAGACTTAGAACTTTTAATTTGTTTGTATCGATAGGGGCTGTAAATTTTAATACAATACAAATTGTTAATAATTATATAGAGTTTTGACTAAAATTAGTTGCTATTGTAAACACAATTTTGTTGATACATAATTTAACCTTTACAATTGTCATTTAGCGAAAGTAAGTCAAATTCTTGTAGAGTGTTTATTTAAGTATTTATTTTATTTTTGTATAAATTTTATGTTGCTATTTTCAGTGGTAAGTGCCATTGATTGGTGTACTTAAAATGTACACTTGCAATACAGAAGTTTTTATTTGTTTATTGATTTATAAATCACTGTAAGAGGTTGTATTATGATATAAAATATGGATTCATGTTTTCAAAAAATAACAAGTGAATTTTGACTCTTGATTTTTTATGAACCATTCCCATATTTTTACACTTTGGTCCTCTATATTATTCTTCTAGTGTTCATGTAAATCTCTCATAATATTAATGACATATAGTTATTTTAATGGAGTTAGTCATAAATTATCAAATATTTAGAAACAATTTGTGACCAAATTTAATTATTAGAGGTTTTATACATCCTTTTAACCAACCAAGTTTCTTTGTAAGCTTACATTCCCTACATTGATTCACATACGTTGTGAAATTAGAATGAGGGAATCCAATCTAAAAAGTTAATGTTTCATATACGGCTAATTTTTTATTTACAATTTCAAAAATTGTTTTTACATTGAATAGGTATTTGTGTTGTCAAACATTAAATGTAAAGTTTACTTTTAAAATAAGGTCTTTGAGAGCGTACTCGCTAGTCCAAAAAGTTGTTATCATCCTCCCCCTCCACCCAACTTCCTTCTACTGTAGCATTCCCTATGTTGCGTTACCTCAATAATACCTCGAATTTCAGCCATGTCTTTTCTGACTGATTTCAGCACTAATAAAATTCATTTATTTGAAAAGTAAATCATGTTGTTTTATTCAGTTGGCCTTCAAAATTGTTAGAATATTGGTGGTTTTTAGCGAGTTTCCTCTTTAGGGAAGAAGCTAATACTGTAGGAGGGTGGCACGGTAAGACAGAAATTAGACCCAGGACCAATTTACTTTAGCATTAAAATTTCCCCGAGGATAAAAACACTATTCATTAGGTTTTATACAGGGTGAGTTTTAATTGTCCCCCCCCCAACTTTTTTCTACATTTTTTCAAATATCAATCCCAGACCACTTCCAAACATTGTTGGGTAGGATTTACTTTATTTTGACAAGGTGGTCATTTCCGGTCGCCATCTTGGATGCAAAATATTTTTTCAAATGTAAAGGTGGGGCTGTGACCCATTATTTCGAACTAGATTTTTACCCTGATTACAATGCCACAAACCGTTTTTAAAAATCTCGATCCATTCCAAAGTTATGAGGGTTTTTTATAACTTTATTTTTAGCCCAGTTTAACATTGTGCATTTACAAACTAAGACCATAATCTCAAAATAGTGCTAGATAAAGATAAATATACACCACCAGTCATTTTTGACCTATTTTTACTTGGTTATGACGGATGTATTTTTTTCAGCCGCCATCTTGGATCCGCCATTTTGAAATGTGATAAATTATTTTAAATATGAAGGGGGTGTTGTGACCCATCATTTCGAATAACTTTTTTAAGCTGAACTCAATGCCGCAATCCATTTTTTTGTTATCAAGTTTTCTTTATGAGTTAATGCTATTTTTTTTGTAAAAAATGTCAATATTTCAAAATCAAAATATGAAAATGAAAAACAGATTGTGGAATTGAGTTCAGCTTAAAAAAGTAATTCGAAATGATGGGTCACAACACCCCCTTCATATTTAAAATAATTTATCACATTTCAAAATGGCGGATCCAAGATGGCGGCTGAAAAAAATACATCCGTCATAACCAAGTAAAAATAGGTCAAAAATGACTGGTGGTGTATATTTATCTTTATCTAGCACTATTTTGAGATTATGGTCTTAGTTTGTAAATGCACAATGTTAAACTGGGCTAAAAATAAAGTTATAAAAAACCCTCATAACTTTGGAATGGATCGAGATTTTTAAAAACGGTTTGTGGCATTGTAATCAGGGTAATAATCTAGTTCGAAATAATGGGTCACAGCCCCACCTTTACATTTGAAAAAAATATTTTGCATCCAAGATGGCGGCCGGAAATGACCACCTTGTCAAAATGAAGTACTTCTTATCCAACAATGTTTGGAAGTGGTCTGGGATTGATATTTAAAAAAAATGTAGAAAAAAGTTGGGGGGGGGACAATTAAAACTCACCCTGTACGTCTTTATACGTCCGTCAACAAGATAACCAAACAGTTTTGGTCAGATTTGATGAAATTGGGCATAAATGTTTAGGTCTGGATAAAATTGAATAAATTCGTGAAACCAGCAAGATCAGGTCTTGGGAACAGGGTACTGTATTATACAAGTAGACTCCTCATCCCATTGTAAATTTTGAAGCTTGTTTTCGTGTCTAGTTCATGTACGTCCACACTGATCACTGGGGTAGACGAAATGTTGTCTATTTTATAGGGTTATTTTCATGATTTGTGTTTTACTATTTGGTTATATAACTGGGAGACCAGTAATTATTTATGATTATATCATTTTATTTGGTTAAATGAGGTTTTAAATTACTGATATAACAAGAAACAAACTGTAAACAAAACACGACCTCTATAGTTGGACGTACAGAACTAACAATAAAATTGGCTTCAGCTGTTCCATAAAGCCCCGTTTCCTTTAAACATTTTGTCCCAACAATGTTGGCACGCCGTTTCCATTCCAAGCAGTTTGCACAGTATCCAACCACCCCTCCTCACTGCGAGCATCGTCTTTGCCCTCTACAATAGTCCATCAGTGCACCCTGCATCAATGAAGAGTGAAGAGGCCACTGCTGCTTTTGTTGTAAAGACTAGTGTGGTAGTGTGGTGCATATTACCAATTAATTAATTTAAAACTTGCAAAGTGACCGGGATGGTAGATTAGAAGTTATTTTACTAAAAGGGCCGTTGAAAGTGCCTACAACTCCCTTATGAGGTATTTAAGGCTTCGTGCTGGATTTCAAAATTTTGTACGAATATCGGCAAGTAATTTTGAAGAGTTATTTAACTTGGTGGCTCCTCTAATCACAAAACATACACCATAAACAAAAAAACATGGTGTATAACCTGTCTTGGTGCTGCGGTTGTGCTGGAATTACTCACAGGAAGCAAGTGTGCATGAGAACATTTTAGATTACATAGGTACATTGCATGTTATTAACATTAACATGTATTTGCATATTATACATTACACTTATGTTATTTGACTTGTTTTGAGCAGAATATTTTTAATGGAAACTGGGCTTAAGGTGTCAACTAATAAATATTTCAACTTAGTGTTCAAATATTTACCCTTAAAACATTAAAACTAAGGTCTAGAGCTTAAAAGAACATACAAAATTTATTTGGTATATTGAAACGTTGTAAAATTAAAGGTTACAGAAAACGCTCCAAAAAGTGTTATTAGAGAGAAAATTCAAATTTTCATACAGTCGGGTGACAAAGTGGGCTTTCTTCTTCTTGCACTGATTATAGCACGCAAAGTAGCTAATTGCTGCATTTACTAACTTTTGCCGCACTCCAGTTTTTTCAACCAAACAACACAAAACAGTGTGCTTTTATTAGGTACCTAATACTGTATGCTTGAAAATAAGTTGGTAAGTAAACAATGCTGTTATGAGATACTTTTCAATTCTAAGAACTGTACTGAAACCTGAAACGGCTACTAAAAAACTGACGTAGGTAAATTATATTTAACATTTTAAGTTGCTGGTCACAACTAACTACAAGTGCCTAAGCACAGACAATATAATACTTTCTGTGGCCTAAGGTTGCCGTTTACGTGATAAGATTTTGACCCGACGCATAAAAGGAATTCCTCTGGCGTCAATACACAGACCGACCATATGATTAATTTTCTGCATTAAATATAACTAGTGTAGTGTACCTGTTGCTCGAATTCGAGCAATTGCGAAGCATTACAGGCAACTCAAAGATTATAGAAATACTCACGATCTATATAACAGTTAGATATAATCAAAATCTTTTGTAAATATCTTATCTTTTTTCAAATAGCTGATCTTGTTTTTTTAGTGTTTTTAGTGTAAGAAAAAAACTGTTTTTTCCTACAGTCACCCGACAAAGTTGGCTTCCTTGTACTGTTTATAGTACAGAAAGCTGCTAATTGCTGCATATTTATACTTTGCCGTACGGTTTATACTTTGCCGTACGGTTTATACTCTGCCGCACATCAAGATTCCAACGAAACAACACAAAACAGCGTGGTTCCATTATGCACGTAATCCGTGTACGCTTGGAAATAGGTTGGCAACACTTAAAGATAATTATACTATGAGCAGCTGATTGACTATTATAACTACGATTTAACCTGTCATTTCGTGTTTATAGTTTCGGTATTTCTGAACTTTCTGGACTTTTCTTTTAAACGTTTTTAAAACCTTCCTACGATCTTAATAAACAAGAAAATACCTTTTAAGCATTTCTTTTAGGCGCGGAAACCACTTCAAATTACAAAAACATACGGAACTATATTCTCAAAACGCGGAGCACATTTCTTGCCGAGGAAAAATAGCGGAGTGATATGGACCGCGGGTACTACTTTCTCTAGGGCACCATTTGTGTTGCCAGCTGAACCTAAAAACGTGTTGCATAGTGTTTGAAAGACTAATTATTTATATGCTTTATAGTGACTGTAGGAAAAATATAATGTGTAACACGAGTGAAAAAGGCCTTTGCTGCACTCGAGATCATTCCACACTCGCCTGCGGCTCGTGCGTAAACATTGCTCTCGTGTGCAGCAAAGTGCCACTTTCACCACTAGTTACACAAATAACTATTTCATTTCTTCTACTTGGTTGTGTTCTATGACTTTTTCTATGTTTCCTTTGTTTGCAAATCTGTTATTTCAATGATTGCTCAAGAAATGTAGCACAGTGTTAATACAGTTTTATTTTTAGCCTATCTCAAATTGTCCAGGATTTCTCGCTCTTTTCCATTGTAATAATTACACCAACCCAAGTTTTGTCTACAGATGCAATATGCCAAAGAATATCACCTACGTACAATCTCCAAGAAGTGGTAAAAAAGGCAGAAACCAACCCATACAATAGATAAGTTAACTCCTTAAGAAAAAATTTTAAAAGTTACTGTGATATTAGGATTTTCCACTGATTTGGTAATAGAACATTATATTGCAAAACATGACACGATGCAGAATAAAATCAATTTTAAAATCAGAAAAATCCATTGCAAATACTGTACTTCATTTTGACAAATTCAATAAATCACAATTTAAATATTAACAGCTGTTGCATTAAAAAGTAGTGTAGAACTATGCATATGGTCGTAATGTAAACAAATCTGAAGAGGCAACTTTAAAGGCTTCTGGGGCAGAGCCCCAAGGGAATTTACCTCTTTCCTCTTTTGATGGCTCATCTACAGACCAAGACCTTTCTTTAGAGACCCCTACCAAGTTTCTACGCCCAGCCGTTCTCTAAAATTAGCTGTGACAAAACCCCCGTTTTCCTCCATAAGAATAACATGGGATGGGAATTTAAAGGCCACGGGGGCAGAGCCCCAAGGGAATTTACCATGTTTCTCTTTTGATGGCTCATCTACAGACCAAGACCTTTCTTTAGACACCTCTACCAAGTTTCTACGCCCAGCCGTTCTCTCAAAATAGCTGTGACAAAGAAAAACAGTTTCAAATTAATTTAAAGGCCACGGGGGCAGAGCCCCAAGGGAATTTACCATGTTTCTCTTTTGATGGCTCATCTACAGACCAAGACCTTTCTTTAGACACCTCTACCAAGTTTCTACGCCCAGCCGTTCTCTCAAAATAGCTGTGACAAAGAAAAACAGTTTCAAATTAATATATAGATTGTTACCTTCCTAACAATCCTTCAAAGCTCGCCATTAAACCGGGCGAAAATAGGGTTGCATGGCAAATCCCTTAATTAAATTTCGTTGAAGTTAAGTGATCTGAAAACTGTAAAAGCTTGAGAAAAGTTACAGTAGCCCGTCGAGAAGTTAATAGTTTGTGGTGTCTAGGAGTTCCGCCGACAGTAGCGCTCTATCCGAGATCCGCTTATTTGTCTCTCCACTCACAACAATCACTTCGCTCTTTCCTGCTATGAACGAAACCGCAGCCGCCGCTCTATCCCGCATAGCCCATGCCGCCCTCAAGGTAACCTTAGATCTACACTCATGAAAATCAGGGGATTCCGCGTTTAAATTCTAAAAGTTTATACACTTGCAAATAGTTGTGTAGTGTGATCAAGCAATACGTATACTAATTTAAGATAAGAACCAAACCTAACCTACGTAAAAATGGCAAATAATGGAAAGGAAGCAAAATGGTTTACTTGCTCGAGGAAATATTAAATACCCCCGCCGCAGCAAACCTGCCGACTAAGCGAATTTCCATTTGTCTGAATTGATTTTCAGTTAAATATATTTTAATAACATTAGGTTTAACGAGTACCTAGGTTTGCTGCTACAAGGAAACTAATAAAGTGTGTTTTTGAGTAAAATATTGATAGCTTAGTACAAAATAAATAAATTTGCCAAGTTTGATCAAAATATATCCATAAACAAGCAAACTACAACATTTGACAATATTCTCCATAAGAATAACATGGGAATTTTAAATTTACAATTTTTTTAATTTTCTCCGTTACTAATAATCGAACAAAAATACATTTATATACTAAATTATTTGTTTTTTTAAGCTCTTTAAAAAGGTTTAAAGAGAAATCGGGAAATTTTGTGTTTTGAGGGTCAAAAGTGAGAAAAACCAATGTTTACCCCATAAAACCCCTTGTAAAGCCCCGTTCCCATGGTCCGATCGTGCTGGTTCGCGAACTCATTCAAGTTTATCCTGCTTTACACCTTTAAACCAAATTTCATCAAAATCGGACAACAATTACTCAAGTTATCGCGTTCACGGACGTATATATATAAGTCTATATATATATACATATATAAAAATTTGAACGAATGGTGTTTTTGGCCTCTGGGGACATCAAAATGAAAAAGTAAATCGGTCCCGGGTCTAGGTCTTACCGTGCCACCTACGGTAATAGCTACTTCCCTATAGGGAAATTCGCTAAAAACTCATAATCTATAAGAAAGTTGTTGTAATTAGCATGGTTCACTATAGTTCCGACGCTATTGTTAGTTGTTTTTAATTGATTAAATCGAAAGATTTTGATTTGACTTCTCGGTAAAACAGCAAACAGCGAATTACTCTCGTATAACATAATTGATACCATAAACCATGATGTTTTGGCTAGAAAACTTGAGTTCTACGGTTTTGATAATCAGTAAGTTAGGTTAGTTATGTCATACTTGTCAGACAGATATCAATATGTATTTTTTAATGGTAGTTCCTCTCAGTATTTAAAGGTTGACACAGGTGTTCCTCAAGGTTCAATTTTTGGTCCAACTATGTTTATAATATATGTTAATGATTTACCAGTAGCTTTAAGTAATGTTTGTGTATCGCCATACATGTACGCTGATGACCTTGCAGTTCAGATAAGTTGCTCAAATGATAATTTAGCGAATCAGATTCTCAATAATATCAACATGACTGTTGAGGACTGGACGGCTGCAAATTTTCTGTGTCTCAACAAGAAGAAAACTCAAATCCTCAAATTTAACCTAAGTTCTTGTTCTCACTACACACCTGAAGAGGTTAAATTTCTAGGTATAGTTCTGCAACCTAACATTAAATGAATAATCATGTTGTCAGTGTGTGCAAAAAAGTGTGTAAAGGTATTTTTATGATTAGACGTCTCAGGTTGATTGTTGATTTTGATGTTCTGATGTCAATATACTTTGCTCACATTTAGAGTCACCTATCGTATGGAATTGTAGTGTGGGGATGTGACAGCAGCGTTAAAAAATTACTGATTTTGCAGAAGAAAGCTTTAAGAATCATTTGTAAAGTAAAAAGAAAAACTCACTGTAAACCTTTGTTTAGAAAACTTGGTGTGCTAACTGTACCTTCATTATACTTACTGGATTCTTTGTTGTACATTAAAGAAAATCTTAATAATATTCCTGCCAACAATTCAGTACATTCATACTTTACCAGACAGAGCCATTTTATCAGAATTCACCAATGTAATTATCAGACTACCATTAAATCTACTTTTGAATTAGGTAAGAAAATCTTTAATTTGCTGCCACATAATGTAAAATGCTTAGATGATAAAAAATTCAAAGTGCATTTGAAATCTCTTTTGATAGAAATAAGTGTGTATGATGTTGACGAATTTATCACTTATTTAAGGTGTCCAGTTTTGTAAATAGAAATTTATTGTAAAATATGACGATGCCATACGTATGTTTTGTATGTTTTACGGCAATAAATGATTTGATTTGATTTGAACTATTCTCAAATCAAAATTTAACTAAACTCGTAAATAGGAAATTTATTATAACTAACAATATCCATAGACTGATGTGACTGCCTCTTTTAATTTATGTACTAACTCACAAATAAGACGACTTTTTATGACATGTAAAAAATATAGTGTAGCAAGTAAGAGATTCAAATCAAAAGCCTTTAAAGACAATTTATAAAATATTCCAGATAAAAAGAACACATTATATGTCGAACTAATAACATATTAACAATTTTATTTAGCAAATCCATGTCCATGGAAAGGTATTATATTAGCATGATATCATAATGCAATTAAAATTAATAAACAGTCCAAAAACACGCTCTTTAATTATTGAAAACTATTTGACATCAAGCTCAAGCCCGATGGATTTTAAATGCAGCCATTACACAAATATTTGGAGTATGTTGCTGCGTCTTCTTATTGCACTGAGATGGTAAACAATAAACCCCCCCCCCCACCCACCAGTCACCTTCTTTGAAGAGCGGGCTCGTAGGCTACAATTTATACAAATAACATAAATTTTGTAAGTTAAAACTAAACAGAAATCTGAGTATTTTTATAAATTAAGAAATAAGATTATCTTTACAGCTTTATGTGTAAATAACTTTAGTCATTTAGTCTTGTATTAATAATCAAGTTTTAACAGCTCACTAAAGACGAATAAGATAACTTCAGGGAACTCATATAAATTGTAAAGAAATAAATTCATCATGGACAAGAAGTAGTTGACGTTCCCTCTTCATTGTTATTTTTATACAGACAAACAGTCTAATAAAATGATTTACAACTAGTGTACATGTTGCTCGAATTCGAGCAATTGCAAAGTACCTATTACAGGTGTTTTCAAAACGAATAACAAAACGAAATAACGAATAACAGTCATACTTACAATGAGTTTAAAAGAGTCAACTCAAAGATTAGAGGTGTGTAACTCAGATCATGTTTATTTCGTTCGTTCGTTCTTCGTGACGTTCCAATCCAGACGGCTGAAACTATCTGAAACCCTACTGGACTGAGGCTGTTTTAGGACTTAGTCCTCTTTAAAGCATTCCGGCCGGTTTTCTCCTTCTCAAAATGTCTCACTGTAAAGGCAACACAGGTCAGGGCCAATTGAGAACGAAAAGTCGATTTGGGGTATAGTCCAGTCAAGGAATGAGGTGTAGAGTGCGTGAGCAGGTAACTAAGCGATTCCTTTAGAAACTTGTTCAGGGGGCTTAGGGTGTTAACATATCAAAAGTCCTGACTCCTAGGTGGTGAGCCAGGGGGTGGAGGGGGAAAAAGGGGGGGAAAAGGTACCCATTTTGGGTTTTTTGATTATATCTCGAAAACTATCAACTTTTTGTATACTATAGTAAATTATAAAATTGAAGAAAATTAAATTTTCTACAAGAAAAGTATATAATGTGTTTATTTTGGTTCAACAGATTGCGAGTTATAACTTATTTAATTGATATCTTATTAAAATCTTCTTCCATAAGAAATACATGTAAATTAGTATGCGAAATGGGGCGAATCCTATCCGCCCAAAGGAAACATAAATGATATTATGGAAATCTTGACAAAATTTTCAGTAATTTGACACTTTAATCATTAAAATTGATCAAAAATTAAGGCGAGGGCGAGGTAACAAAATGTCGAGTTTTGGTATTTTTTATTGGAAATATAAAAAAAAACCTTAAATCATCCTAATTTTAAACGCTCACCCTCGCTTTAATTTTTGACAAAATTGCATGATTAAAGTGTCAAATTGCTGGAAATTTTGTCAAGATTTCAAGAATATCAGTTATATTTCCTTTGGGCGGATAGGATTCGCCCCATTTCGCATACTAATTTACATGTATTTCTTATGGAAGGAGTATTTTAATAAGATATCAATTAAATAAGTTATAACTCGTAATCTGTTGAACCAAAATAAACACATTAGGCCTATATACTTTTCTTGTAGAAAATTTAATCTTCTTCAATTTTATAATTTACTATATTATACAAAAAGTTGATAGTTTTCGAGATATAATCAAAAAACCCAAAATGCGTACCTTCCCCCCCCTTTTTCCCCCCTCCACCCCCTGGCTCACCACCTAGGAGTCAGGACTTTTGATATGTTAACACCCTAAGCCCCCTGAACAAGTTTCTGAAGGAATCGCTTAGTTACCTGCTCACGCACTCTACACCTACTTTTGGATCATTCATTGACTGGACTAGTAGTGATATGGCGCATTTGAAACCTAATAGTTGAGATTGACCAGGGTCAGGTGCTGACTGTGGTGAGTTAAGCCTATTACGCGCCACTGTTCTGTAGCTGTTATCATGATTTCGCCTCCTGTCTATGTTTCGTTTTCGTTGCGTCGGGCGTCGGAGGCATTTGAAAAAAACAACAAATCAACAAATTATAGCGACACAAAACAACGATAAATACACAAATTTAAGATACAACCATACTTACACGATCCGTCTTGGGGGTTATGTTTACACAAACTCAAATAGTAAATAAATGTACTCAATGCGTTCCATTGAATTGAAAAATAAATAAAGTAACAGCTATTAAATTATACAGCTGATCAAAATGTAAACAATTATGTTCTTCATAAGGATGAGAACTTTCAAAGCCACTGGGGCAGAGCCCAAGGGACTTTTTCAAAAATGTAAGGCCAGTTTGCAAATCTACGCGACATGGTCTTTCCAATGAGACGTCAATGGGTAAAATCGGTTAAGAAATGGCGGAGGACTTCAACCGACAAAGTTTCATGTAGCGTATTAATTATACAGTATA